GATTCTGTTAATTTTAACAATGATAAAGGAAAATAATAAGAAATTATGAAAAAAAAGATCAAAATTTGCAAGAAAAATTATGCGGGGTGCATAAAACCAAGGGGACAGGTAGAGAATCTTCGGTTTAAGTTTAAACAGAGCACAACCATACCTTGCAGGCCTCGCACGTGTTGACACCGTAGTGGAAGCCGGCCGCCTGCTCCCCACACACGCGGCACGGCGGGAGAGGTCCGGCCACGTTGGAGATGCGCTCCTCGGGAGGCCGACGCTTGCCCCTCATACTGTAGAGAAAATTTATAAAATAAGATAATTTTAATAAACTGTCGAAATTGTCCCAGAGTTTGTTAATGTTAGTTAGGGGTGAGAAGCACATCGACAAATAAAATTATGGTCATTTATGCAGGGAAAAAGACAGACAGGCAGGATCAATAGAAGGAAAGTAAACAAAAAGAAGAGCCTACCAGCGGTGCCCTCCAACCACCGGCAAGATTAGCTGAGGTATTACCAGAGAGTAAAATACAAAGAAAAGGAAGAGAGGTAAAGACGATACAGACTACGTTTGGTAGGCAAGGAGGAGCAAACCAACCACACCAGAACACCCGCCACACCAACCTCTTGCCAACCAGTTCACAGTACACGCAAAACAAGGAATCCGACTCCCCATCTAGATCTAGATCAAGATAATATAAAGTATATCCGCAGCATTTCACGAATATGTAAAACAAACACTGTTGCTTGGCTTCATTATGTATTTCTTTAAAAAAAGAAAGACAAAATGAAACACTCTCTAATTAGAGAGAACACTTGGTCCCAACCAGATATCAAAAATAATTAAAAAACGAAGGTGACAAAAATGAGGGTCCCTTTCAGACGTGAACTCAAATTTCTCCGTGCACGCCAAGTATGAAATCAATTGCAAAATAGCGGCTTGTACACACACACACACACACACACACACACACACACACACACACACACACACACACACACACACACACACACACACACACACACACACACACATACACACAAAACTTACACCGCTAGTGAGTGAGTGGGACGATGGGAGGTTATGGTGAGCCAGTACATGCATAAACGAATTTACCTATTGTCTCCTACAGACAGAAGCGCAACTTTGCCAATGGTGGAATGGCACACCTGAACATTTAAATTAGTCATTGCACAACAGGTGTGCTTTTGTGGTATTTCATTTGATGGTCCGCCTCGGAGCACGTTTCAGATACTTCTCGCTTCTTCTTTACACTAGCCACAGGGTCAAATGTTCGGCCTTCAGCATGACCACCAAGGTAGCCTCCTACATGATATAAAGAGTGTCGATGGGAGTGCAAAATACACTTTGACTACATTTTCTTTTTAATAAGGGGGGGGGGGGTGGATCCGGGGAGTGACATCCATCGCTTACTTATGTAGTAATTATTATTTTCGTAATACGTGTGATTCATTCGTTTATTCTGTTTATAAATTTTAAGCATTTAGAGTCTCTGAGTGAAGACAGCGGGGGAGAGGGTGTGTATAGAAAACAATCCAAGGTCACATTTCTTTTAGGGTCTCTAGTGTAAATGTTTCCAAAAATAACAGCCTTCTCGAAAAGTTCAATTTTTTCCTCCCTAAAATGCAATTCCAGTCATTGTAACATCACAGTAGATCTAAACCTGCAAACGACAGATAGCCCCTAGAATATAGGCACGTGCGCAAAGACACAGAAATAAACACACAATAACAACTACAGAAATTGTCTTAATATTAAACTCACATCAGCTTGCGCGCGCGCACGCGCACACACACACACACACGCGCGCGCGCGCGCACTCACACACACGCACACACACACACATTCTCTGTAGATGATGATGATGATGATGATGATGATGATGATGATGACGTTGTCGTCGTGATTACGTAGTTATCGTCTTGGTTACGGTAATATAAAAACAACCCACGGCTTTTCCTCACACAGTGATACAAGATGAGAGCTGAAGCTATAATTTGAAACTTCATGTGCATCAACACTCACTAGAGTTGACTATTTGGAATTTTCCCGGTAGACGGGTTTTTTTTGGTCTTTAATAGTAGAGGGTTTTACGGCGCTCGCAACTGCATATAAGGTCATATGAGCGCCAAGGGGTGGGCGTCCACAGAAAAGTCTTTACAGGGAATCAGACTTAGACTGCTCACCTCTCTAGCTTCAACAGCACAAGGTCTGCTTCGACTATCGGAAATAGCAGGTCACAAGAGAGTGACAAACATACAAAAGAAGTAGAGGAAATGACAATAGTAAGGATCAGGAAAGAAAAAGCAGCAGTTCTCTGTTGTAGATCAGGCACAGCCATGAGCGTGACATGAGTCAGCCCATTTACAATTCTACTATGCTTGAACGAGAAATGTCCCCCCTTTGGGAATGGCCTAAAGTAAAGACACTACAGTCAGTGGCACTGCCCCGGGGGGTTGAGACGGTTAGTTTAAACAGCTATGATGATAATATATCGCAACAATAAATGATGAAAACGGAGTACGGCTAGTCTCCAGGGCAGCGCCGATGTCGCAGGATAAAGGTTGTACAACGCACCCCCCCCCCCCCAACCTTTCCTCTTTTTATTACTGAAAGGAAAACTAAACTTCATTTTAAAAAAGTCTCTGAAACTCAAAACCGCGGAACCATCGGCATGCAAACGTGTTTTTGAATAAACAAATGCATTTTAGAAACGTACTTTGAAGTCAAAACCAAACCCTTGCACATATGTCATTACTCTACAGGCAAGGTAAACTTGGGTTCTGGAGTGTCATACCCACCCCGTCCCGTCCTCAATATTTTAACTCCAATTACCAAAGGGCAGGACGTTTATTGGAGAAAAAAAATCCTTCGTGCAGCTTGCGGAGACAGGTCTCAGCCACGTTTAGTTTTAGTTTTTAAGTTTTAGTAAGAGTTTTAAGGCACTTGCAACACAATAAGGTCATATAAGTGCCGACGATTAGAGGTGTTACAAGAGAGTAACAAACACAAAAGAGAAGAAGGGGAGATCAGGACGATACATGTTTGGTAGGAAAGAAGGAGCAAACCACACCAGAGTACCCGCCAACCACCCACTTACACCGCAAGTGAGTGAGTGGGACGATGGGAGGTTATGGTGAGCCAGTACATGCATAAAAACGAATTTACCTATTGTCTCCTACAGACAGAAGCGCAACTTTGCCAATGGTAGAATGGCACACCTGAACATTTAAATTAGTCATTGCACAACAGGTGTGCTTTTGTGGTATTTAATTTGATGGTCCGCCTCGGAGCACGTTTCAGATACTTCTCGCTTCTTCTTTACACTAGCCACAGGGTCAAATGTTCGGCCTTCAGCATGACCACCAAGGTAGCCTCCTACATGATATAAAGAGTGTCGATGGGAGTGCAAAATACACTTTGACTACATTTTCTTTTTAATAAGGGGGGGGGGGTGGATCCGGGGAGTGACATCCATCGCTTACTTATGTAGTAATTATTATTTTCGTAATACGTGTGATTCATTCGTTTATTCTGTTTATAAATTTTAAGCATTTAGAGTCTCTGAGTGAAGACAGCGGGGGAGAGGGTGTGTATAGAAAACAATCCAAGGTCACATTTCTTTTAGGGTCTCTAGTGTAAATGTTTCCAAAAATAACAGCCTTCTCGAAAAGTTCAATTTTTTCCTCCCTAAAATGCAATTCCAGTCATTGTAACATCACAGTAGATCTAAACCTGCAAACGACAGATAGCCCCTAGAATATAGGCACGTGCGCAAAGACACAGAAATAAACACACAATAACAACTACAGAAATTGTCTTAATATTAAACTCACATCAGCTTGCGCGCGCGC